ACGCGCGCGCTCCGTGCACAGCGCCCAACCGGTTTTGGTGCGGCTGCTCACACGAATGTGGAATTGGATACTCGCACGCATACAAGGCAAAATGTGGTCTGTTGGCAACAATACAACAACAAAAACAAAAACAACGGCGCGCGAAACTTTGATTGATATCGAAATGTCACGCAGACGCGCATGTGGCTAATAGGGCCTGCGGTTCTAGCCATTTGCTATTCGTTTGCCGTTAACCATTTGCTATGCGAATTGATTTTGGCTCAATGAATTAGCCACATTTGTTGGCGCGAAATTGTTGTGTGAAAAATTATATGGGCTCAGCTCGCAGCTGCCTCCTCAAATTAGACATTTATTTTTTTAAATCAGCACATGTGCACACGTTCGTATAAGTTTGTGTGTAATTCTAAATATATTTTTAAATTCATGCGACGCTTTCGGACTTAGACAGGCGGGTGAAAAATGCCAACATTTTATTTGGCTTGTACATCTAATGGGTTTTGCTGATTTAGGAATAAAAAATGGCTGCACAATTAATTGGTTTACGGACTATTAAAATCTAAATATTTGAGGTTGAATATTGCAAACTTTCCTTAACCGGACGTCCTTCACAGTTGAGTGCTACAAATTTATTAAAGTATCAAATTTTTTCTGGATCTGGAAAGTCTTTTCCTATTAGTGGTATTTCTACCATGAAAAAGCTTCTTATAACACTACCTCCTTTTCGTAAAAAATGTAAAACTTTGGGCCCCGCCCAAAAAAGCTCCAAATTCATTTAATATTTACTTAAGTAAATAATTTGGTCTTAAAAAATAAAAGCATATCTGGGAATGTTGATATAGAAATAAACAAGTAATGTGTAAACAACAAACAAAACCCGACTTCAATTTTCATATAAAAATTTAAGATTATCGTTAATTTCTTCACGATCCAATTATTGGATCTAAACAAAATTAGTATGGGACCACCCCTAAGGTACCACATTTCCAAAATTATCGAAATCGGTTAACGTGGTCCAAAGTTAAAAAAAAAATATTCCGACGAACCTTTTTGTCAAGTCGGTTAAAAAGATGGCATCGAAGGCGAAATCCCTGTAGGAAATATTTATATCTGCAGCACAGCTAAGTTCATGCTTCGGTCTTACTGCGCAAAAATCACCAAATAAAGTATATTTTATCATTTTTAAGGCAGTATTGAAAATTCCTATTTCAGATACTTACGGAACACTTCGTCAAGCGCTCAAGTTAGGACGGACATGAAGTGAATGTGATTTGGAACGCATTTCCGACAGACCATGTCAAATTTGATTTGAAGACAAACAGTGTCAGTGTTGTACAATTTTTTGGACCATTTACATGCGATGACTAAAAAAATATTGCACAGACCTGGCGTGATGGCGGGAAACTGATCCGAACTTGATTTCAGTCACCCTAAAAATAGGCTGTATACTGATTTTTTTGACAGACCGGTCACTAGCAGAGTAAAACTAACTTGACTGACAATTTCTAGTACTGGGCCTCGGTGGCCTAGATTTCAATAAAAGTTATTCTTTTTATTTAGAGAACTACCCCAAAGAGAATACGCTTGACAGATCAGAAATAGGTTCTTTCTTATATTAAATATGCTCTTAGGTATTTTCCAACTTTCTGTCGGCCTACTCAAATTGACTTGTTAATGTGGATGCATGGGCTAATAACAGTAATCAAAAACGATACGCGGCAGTCGTTGTTTCAAACAATCCCTTAATGGTATTCAACGGAAGACAATCACCAACTTCTTCGAACTATGACCCGGAGAATAACTGCTTAGCTATGCCTGCGTACCTCTGGCATTGATCTCCTACTTACGCAGACTTAATCCCGACTTTTCATATTTAAAATGTTGCCTACATAATTTTATTCGTAAAAAAGTATTAAAAATTACTCAACTTTTAGTTAGTCACTTTAAAAAATTTTTAATTTTTTGTATCATTTAACTTTTTGCCATTGGAGTTACAGAATGACATTAAAAGCCAATTCAGTCAGCCCTTGCACTATGCCACTCATAACTCCCACACACTAAAGAGCAATCCATAAATGGCATCCAGCTGCTGGCACAATGCACAAATATAAATAAAGTGTCATGGCGACGAGAACGAAAGAATACATCAAAACAACAAGCACCTGCTGAGCGGCGCGACCGCCCGCCGTTGCCCATGCGCCTGTGCTGGTCTGAGATGTGGCAAGTGTTGCATCAACTCCGCTTCCATAACGCCTAATCCAGTGCAGTGCGCGCTGTGCAGGCGCGGCGCTTAGCGGCAGGTATGCGCGCCAAATATAATGTTGGCTAATAAAGTCATGAATTACGTACATATA